TATCAGAATGGCTGGAACTCCACATCCTTTTCCACAGGTTTTTCTTCTAATCAATCTCCAGCCGGTATGCACAACTCCCTTGTAGGGCAATTTAATAATACCGGTGTACCTAGCATGGCAAGTGTACGAGGTACCGGATTACAGTTTAACTTAGGCCCCACATCTCAAAGCGGTTCACAGGTATTATGTTTAACACATAACATCACTTTAGAGTGCACGTTTAAATGATGTTATTGATAAAATTAAAATACATTAGGTAACTTCCAATTCTGTTCCTGTTACTTCTCAGTCAGGTGGTCAAGGTCCTACAGGAGGAGGAAACGGAGGTGCAGGTGACTCCATAAACAGTTCTCAGTCTAATACTAGTGGCCCTACTATTAGAGGAAGTTCAGGAATGCCAAATGATTCAGCTCCACAAACAACTCAAGCTTCCAGGGATATCAATACAGCTAGTTTGTGTAAAATAGGTCAAGAAACAGTTCAAGATATTGTATCGAGAACACAAGAAATTTTTCAAACTTTAAAGACTATACAGGTTTTAAATTTTTTATCTTTTACTTTAACTTTGTTGTAAATTTCAACAAAACAATATTTGGGGTAACAAAAATATAATTTTTTTTTTTTAATATTTCAGCCACCGAATGGCACGATACCAGGTTCGAACACATCGAATGAAAAAAAAGCAAAAATTCAAGAACAGCTTAAAACTATTAGGTTATTATTTAAAAGATTAAGGTTAATTTATGAAAAATGTAATGAAAATACTCAATTACAAGGAATGGAATACACACATATTGAGGTATCATTATCATTATTATTATTATTTAAAATGAAATACATGAATTTTCATTTGTAAAAATGAATCAAACTTTGATTTTTACCCTTAAAAAAAATTACAGAGTTTAATACCGTTAAAAGAAGAATGGGATATGAAAAGCGAAGAAAGAAAAAATTCAGAAGCATATAGGCAAGCAAGCGAAGAATGTAAAGAATTAATGGAACAAGTTGCATTAAAAAATAAACATTTAAAAGAAATAGTCGATCACCTTCGTAGAATAATATGGGAAATAAACACAATGCTCGCCATGAGAAGATCCTAATGCATTGAAATTATTATAAAAATGTAAATAATATATATTAAATATATATATATAAATTAAAAAAACAAATTCTGTTCATCATTTGTTTTAAAACAATAAATTAGTCGAACAAGTTTCCTTGAAATTCTTTCAAGACAACCTTTGATTTATCATATCGAACAAATTAATCAACATGTCACTAACAATTTGAACATATTATAAATTTTTTGTACTTTAAAATATTATAATATTAAAAAGTACTTTAAAAACTTTAAAAAAAGAAATTACCTTTTATTTGAAGCAAGAGTCACAAAACGATTTGAACAAAATGGCTGCGAATAGGCGTGTGTGTGCGTGTGCATGTGCGTGACACGTGGTACCTCAAAAATAAAAAATTTTTTATTTATATTTTTAACCATAAACTTATAACCGTTTTTTTCAAATCATATAATAATAAAACGGAATACAAAAAAAAATTTTCTAACCAAGGATATTTTATTAATTAACTAAATTTTATTGATTGATTAATTAATAAACGAATTATATATATATATATATTCGAATATATATAAATTTAAAATTTTTTAATAATAAATATTTCTGTTGGTTCTGGGAGGGATTTAATTAATTTGAATTCTTATAATCTAAAAGGCAGAAAAATCATCATTTCAAATTTTTGCCAACTTTTTTTTTTTTTTTTTTAAATAATCCAAGAAGCAAATTTTTTAATAATTATTTAATAATAATAATAATAGTTAATTACTTAGTTTAAACAATAATTGAATTAAAGTGAAAAAAAATAAAAAAAAAAAAAAACAAAAAAAAAAAAAGAACAGAAATATTTAATAATTCATCATCATCATCATCATCATCATCATTGCATTTAATTTTCTAAAATGTTAAAAATTTTCTTTTTAAAATGAAAAATAATTATTTCAACACTAATAAAATATCATTATTTTTGTTTTTTTTTGTAATAATAATAATAATATAATTTATTATATGTTATTCAAAACTTTTAAATTAAAATTTTTTATTTTCATTTGTTATTATTAAGTTTTTTTTTTTGTTTTTCAAAAATTCCCCACATTATTCTCAAATAAAACAGCATTAGCAAATGTCACATCATATTTATATGTATTTATGTATATTATTATTATTATTATTATTATATTATTATTATTATTATTATTATTTTATTTATTATTTTAAATTTTGAATTTTGCCCAATTCATCTTTAACTACACAACAATACTTTTTTAATTTTTTAAAATTTAAATTTAAATGAATTATTAAATGATTATTATAATTATTATTTTCTTTATTTTATTTTTAAAAAAAATTAAATTAAATTAAATTAAAATAAAACAAATAATTGAATGATGAATAATTAATTTTTTTTTTATTCTTATGTTTATGTATGTATATATATATATATATAATTTATATTTACTTGAATACTTTTCGAATCGCTTTTTTTGCGTAAATTAAAATAAAATAATAATAATAATGATAATATTTATACGATAAGAAAAAAAATAAACACATCACTTTTTTTTTTAAACAAGTAAGTACAAAAAACAAATTAAAAATTAAAAAAAAAAAATGTAAAATAAAAAACGTTATAAACTCACAAGGGTATTCAACAAATTAAACATGGCGGATATTCACGCGCAAAAAGGCACATTGTAAAAACAAATCAAATCAAAGTTTTATTTTTTTTTTTTCTCTTTTTTTTTTTACTTTTTCTTTTTAAAATAGTAATGTAAATGCCAAGTCTTGCAAAATAAATAAATGAAGTCAATAAAATCAACATAAATAAATTTAAAAATTAATAATAAATTAAAATTAAAAAGAAATTTATTATTATTATTTTTTTAAATTTATTTTTATGCAAGACTCAGATTTTAAATATTTACAAACCTGACAGGTTAAATGAAAATTAATTACCGGTTATTTTAATTAATTAATTATTTTTAAAAAATAAATTGATAAATAATAAAACAATCTTCATCAAATTGTGAAAAACGAAAACAAAACAAAAAAAAAAGGATGTCATTTGACTAACCGAGTTTCAATTTCAAAACACGAATTTTATAACGGTCAAACAATAACGTTAAAAATAAAACCTGTCAAGTTAAACATATGCAAAACAAAGAAAACTTTTATTTAAATAACATATAAAACATAATAATTATGTTTTCATTCATTGAAATCATTTTTAATAATGTTTCACCATTTAATTTTTAGTAATAATAATAATAATAATAACAGTAATAAAAAGCACAAAAAAATATGTGTTCATGTGTTTGTGTTTGTGTACGTGAATGTGTATGACAATAATAATAATAAACAGAGAAAGCAAAAGTATGATAATTAATTAATTAATTAATTAACGGTTATTAATTAAGTTATTAATTAAAAGGAAGACCTGAAAATTTATTTAAGTATCCAAAGCAAAATTCAACAACAATTTTTAAATTTTATTTTTTTTTCTTGGGGGAGGGGGTTTTATTTCATTTCCTTTTAATCATAAAACATAAATTATTTAATAATAATTTTCTATATAATAATAATAATAATGCTTTCTCTTATTTTTTAGTTATTTATTTTAAAATCAATCAATCATCAACTAGAAAAATTAATAACTTTTTACTAAAAATTGTTTATTATTATTATTATTAAAATTAAAATTATAATTATTATTAACTATTATTATTATTATTATTATTATTATTATTATTATTATTATTATT